CCTTAAATATAGCTGTCATATAAATGCTGAAGTTTGCACATCAATTAAAAGTGTCAAATATTTACTTAAATACATGTATAAAGGGCACGACTGTGCAAATATTCAAATTTCTGAGAAAAATATTATCAATCATGACGAAGTACAGGACTTCATTGACTCCAGGTATGTGAGCACTCCTGAGGCTGTTTGGAGACTTTTTGGAATGCGAATGCATGACCAATCTCATGCAATCACAAGATTAGCTATTAATTTGCCAAATGATCAGAATTTACATTTTCATGCAGATGATTTTGCTGAAGTTTTAGATAGGGCTAAAAGGCATAACTTGACTTTGATGGCTTCGTTCTTATTGAATAAAGACTCTGATACACGTAATTATTATTATTGGGAGATCCCACAGCATTATGTGTTTACTAATTCTTCGTGGACAAAACGCCGAAAGGGTGGGAATAAAGTATTAGGTAGACTGTTCACTGTGAGCTTTAGAGAACCAGAATGATATTACCTTAGGCTTTTGCTTCTGCATGTAAAAGGTGCGGTAAGTTTTGAGGATCTGCGAACTTGTAGGAGGTGTAACTTATGATACATTTCGTGAAGCTGCTAAACACCAGGGATTATTACTTGATGACACTATCTGGAAAGATACGATTGATGATGCAATCATCCTTAATATGCCCAAACAACTACGGCAACTTTTTGCATATATATGTGTGTTTGGATATCCTTCTGCTGCAGACAAATTATGGGAAGAGAATAAATCTCATTTTATTGAAGATTTCTGTTGGAAATTACACCGAAGAGAAGGTGCCTGTGTAAACTGTGAAACGCACGCCCTTAACGAAGTTCAAGAGGGATTCACATTGCATGGAATGAAATGTTCACATTTCAAACTTCTGGACTATCCTTTATTAACGAATGCAAATGCATGTGATCAAGTGTACGAGCAACAAAGGGCAGAGGTTTTGATAAATTCTCTGAATGATAAACAGTTGGCAGCCTTTCATACTATAACTTCAGCCATCGAAGATCAAACTGTACACCCCAAATGCTTTTTCTTGGATGGTCCAGGTCAGGGGTCCTCAAACTACGGCCCGCAGGCCACATGACAATACAAATATTGTATTTGTCCCCATTTTGTTTTTTTACTTCAAAATAAGATATGTGCAGTGTGCATAGGAATCTGTTCATAGTTGTGTGTTTTTTTAACTATAGTCTGGTCCTCCAACGGTCTGAGGGACAGTGAACTGGCCCCCTGTTTAAAAACTTTGAGGACCCCTGGTCTATGAGATCACACAGGGTTTATTTAATAAAAACCACATAGAATAGGGAATTAATAGGATTTGGGGAA